GGGGGGGGGGGGAAGAGGGAAGGAAGGGAGTAGGTTGGCCCAGTTTATCTCTGTCCTATCTAGTAAAATGTGTTAATGTGAACTGTGAGATATATCATACTTCTTCTATTATGATATGTGTTTAACGTGCATTCTTTTCTGTTGACATAAATTCTAGTTGCCTCTGAAACCCTAATGGTTGTAGCATATATTATACATGCATCAATATGTTGTGCAAATTTAGGATAATATGCTATCACTTGCAGTTATGAATTGTGGTAACTATGATTTTTGACTTTGATTTGAATAATTTTACTTTGTTATAAGGTTGGTCAGTTTATATTTTCCAGTTACCAGAAACTTCCTTGGTGGGTTACACTTCATGAAGTTTCATCACATCTGTATTCTGTGATTCCTAAACAAGACTTTAGTTCCCTATCTTGTTCTTGGTGGCAATCTATACTTATTGTTGTCTGCATTATGCATTTTACTATTTTGCAGTATGCTGAGCTTAAACCAGTGCCATGCTTGACTTACTTAGATGCTCAGATGTTGCGAGAAAAATGTGCCACCACAATTCTTAAGCAGGTACTGTTCATGCTTTGGACTTATGTATCTTTTATGTTGATTATCTCAGCATACCATATTCCTCTCCAATAATTTCATTTATTGATCCATTTGTTTTTGCGGGAATCTTCATGTAGTTTTAACCTTGCCATATTAGTTGATATCATGTGGTAAAGGATGTCTGTTTCTTTTTTGGTTTTCAATATTTGGACTATGTGTGACAAATGATATTGGTTTTACAAAATTTGGACTATCATAAAAGCTTGGGAGTTGGGATCCTTTTGTCACAGTTTTGTGAGGTTGAAGTCAAAGAATCTTGCAACACTTGTCTCTGTAATCTTGCATATTCGGGTTAGACACTAGATTGATGGATCTCGTGCTTATTCAGTGGATCAGTGTTGTATTTACTTCCTCTGTTTCAATCTGGATGGAAGATCACTAGTCATTTGTTTTATTTTCCTACTCAATTATGCTTGGTGTAGCACCCGATGCCATTACCAAAAAACTGTATCAGATACATATTGTTTAGTTGACTGACCTTTAATTGTTCATAATGGCAATCTAATCTTTTCTGCTTATTAGGTTAGGAATGATGTTATACGATACCGTTATGGGGATGAGCAACATTTGGATGAGGCCTTGAAACGAATTTTTCAGTATGGTCAGGTGAGATTTCCCATTTTATTGGATATATATGAATGTATTTTCTGGATGATTCTTCTTCACTGAAAAAAGGAAATAACTTACAACCTCCGGATCACAGAACATTTGATACATTGACACTAGAATATTAACTACTTTGATTTGTTGTAAGTTCTTGTCCCTCTCCTTTTGGTATCTTGTCACCAGAAAATATGCGAAGTGGTCTGTATTGGTTACTCTATTCTCCCACTTTCCTCATTTTGGAATATGAGAGTATTAGTTGGTCTTATGTTGAAAAAAGAACAAAAAATATACCCGTTGGCCTTTCAGTCACCAGCATAAATTGGAGTAGAGAGAAACCTTACAGTGATAGTACTATCCAATGAGTCTTTGGGAAGGAATATTCAATGTGCTGTCCAAATATTAGGAGATCAGAAGTGGACCTTTGTATGTAAGAAGAGAGTTCTCTGAGAAAATCGACTTTAGTGTGCAAGTTAATGTACAGTGCGATGACTGTAAGAGATGGAAGTCAGGAACAAGTAATTTTTATTACTTTTTAAAAAAAATGTGACATCCTTCTAGAAAGCTTGTCTATAATAAATATGAGCCGCCTATGTATCACCTGTACATGGTGTACTTGTCACCTGCTTCACTGGAATCTTGTGAACTGAAGGCAGAACATGTCAAGAGCAACTTATATTACTTTTTTTTCATAGTTAGGCAAATTTTTTCATCTTTCGGGCAGTGAAAATCTGAAGAAGCATAATAACCTGTAAAACCAAAAAAAAAATTAGACTTCCTCAAATTTGACTAGAAAACAGGAATGTGTACAATGTCCTTTGTATTCTTACTGCAATATATCTGATCAGTGTTTATGTTGCTCTGACCTTGGTTTTCTTCTGCTGTTACATATAGGGTGGAGGAATTCCACGGAGAAGTGCACCTATTTTACGAATGATCCGTGAAGAAGTATGCTTCTCGAACTTCCTTGAATTTACAAAAAATAGATCACTTGATTTTTGTGTTGTATTTGACCAAAAAAAGATTTTTGTATTGTATGGGTAGCTTTTGGTTTTTGTTGGCAACCACTTTGATCATCAATTGTCATAACTGATAGGTTGTAACCTGGTGTCAGCGTTGCTATATCATCTGGATGGGAAGGCTAAAACCATCATAATTGTTTAGATTTCTTTTGTTGCAGCTCATTGACTTGTGGCATTCCATTGTTAGAGTTGCTTCAAAACAGAATTCAATAATCAGACACTAGACAATTACTAAATTATTGGATGAATCTTTTGCTTGATTGATTCAATATTTTTTGGAAAAAAGTTGCCCCCAAAACATAAACCAAATTAAAACAAGATAACTGAATATTTCGATGTGACTTTTGCTTGATTGATTCTATATGTGTTGCAAACTATCATGTGCCAGGTTACTGACGATGGCAAATACTGTTTGGTCTTGGTGTTCGAGGCAAAAGCGCTGCAGTTGGCAGATTTTGAACAAAGACAGGTGTGACAGTATTGTCAAAACCAAATTACCTTACTTTCCATTGTTGACTTTGCTAAACTGTTTTCATTCTTTAAGATCATGTTCTGAAGTAGGTATGTAACAAACTGAATGTCCTAAATTTTCTATTCTTTATGGTAATCATGATGCGTGAGAGTGATTGATTCTTAACTTTTTGTACTCCAACTCTCTTTTTAGGTGAAATTTGCTTCATTCTTTGGACCTGGGATCACCGCTGAAGTTGGTAAATTCCAAATACTTCCATTTTCTTAATGTTTTCAGAGGTTTGCGTGGGGCAGGCTGCAGACTATGCTCTGAGGGTGGTTTATATACCAACTTTTATGAAGTAATTTACAAAAACTTGTGGGTGCAGGGAAAGGAGAAAAAGATCTATATGAAGTCAAGCTTATATCCAACACAACATTATAGGGAAAGTGATCTGGCTGCTATTTGGTCTGGCTCTGCACATTACGGTACAGTGGATAGTAAGATTGAAGGCGTTGGCCACGATACGCAGCAATGTGTGTACAGGAATTGTAACAATTGGATGCTAAGCTCTTGTCATTGCATGGGGTGTTTTTCATCTTGTGTATCACTGTTACAAGTCAAATGATATGAGAAAACAATTCTCTCTATAAGCCCTATAAAAATTTAACGAGGGGTTCATCATGGTTGCATGCGATTTCATGACTATTTTTATTTCTCCTGGTTTACTTATGCAACAAGCGAGTCCGTTACCCTCTTTGAATGGTGATAAAACCCAGCTCGGATTTTATCTTCGCGAGAGAGAAGCCTGATGGCCACCCTAGCTCGATTAATTCTTTCAAGATTCTCTCAACCAAGGGTCCCAAAAGTAAAGATTGATTCCTCATGTCCCTCTTTTTGGGGTTCTTTCTGTGCCCTTGTTTAGGGTTTCTCTCACTTCTTTTGGTGTGTGTTCTTCTTTGCTTTTGATACTTTACTCTAAATTATATTACTTGATGGTTCGTTGCAATAGTTATGTAACGATGTATGTCAAAAAAAAAGGTCCAAGAAGGGCAGTATTGTGACCACGTAATCCCAGACGGTAGAACTACTGACCAACAAACACCAGCATGTGAATTTCATAATCTGCCATTAAACAATTTTTAAAAAATAAACAAAAAAACCTCTCGGATGCTGGCAATATTGTATGGTTGTAATATGTATTCTGGTTTGATATCATTGTCAGTTCATATAACGAGGCTATATTGATGAGTTCAACGTCAATAGTTTGTACTTATTGTGCTGAAAAAAAGTTTTTTCAAATTAGTATAAATTATATATATCTATATATAATAAAGGACAATACAATTTAAATTTTAAAAGATAAATAAAATGACTTTTTTTATTCGCAGTTGAGATTTTTTTAAATTTTACATTGAAGTTAATTTGACGGCTAATATTAAAACCCCAAATTTAATAGGAAAAATAGATTCTTAAGGGTGTGATTGAAATGATTTTTTTAAAGTGTTTTTAAGAATTATTTCTTATTAATACTTAAAAAAATAGTTTTTGGAACCGCACCACCACTACCTCTACCACCGCCACCGCCATCACCACTACCATCGCCCAACCACCACATCACCACTATCACTTCCGCCCACCACCTCCACCTCCATCGATCCTCACCACCATCATTACTACCACCACCGTCCCACCACCATTACTACCATTACCACCACTATCGCGCCTTACCATCACCGTCATTGTCCCACCATCACCTTAGCACTCGCACCACCCCACCACCACCCCCACGACTATCACAACTACCACCGCCGCCACCACCACCATCATTGTCACCTACCACTGATTGCTACCATTGTCGTCCACTACCACCATCCACTACCATCATCATCTTATTCTTGTATTTATTATCATTATCACCATCATCCCACTATTACCGTTGTCACCGTCAGTACTCACCATTACCATTGTTGTCCACCGTCACCTACTAGCACAACACACCACCAGTCATTGTCGCCCACCATCGCCACCAGCCCCTGTCACCCACTCCCACCACACCTACCACTATTACCCGTCATCTGTCACCACTACAACCACTCACTGTCACCTACCCTCATCACACTTACCATCGCCACCATTCGCCACCTCCATCACACTGTCGCCTAGAAGTATCCATCGTCACCCACCACCACCGTTGTCCCACTACCACTGTTGTTAACCACCTTCACTGTCGTCCACTACAACCCACACCCACTACCATCACTGTCGTTATCCACAGCTGTCACTACTATCATTGTCACCCAAAACTCACCACCACTATCACCATTGTCACCCACGACTGCCACCACCACCACGATTGTCGCCACCCAACCCAACCATCACCACTGTCGCCTAGCACCACTAATATTGCTCACTCACATTAATTGGTACTTAAATTTTTTTATCTCTCCTTTATATTTGTGATTTTATTTTAGGTGCGAATACAAATATGTTTAGTGCTAACCATTTTTTTATTACTCTGTGCCTTCAGACATGAAGAATAACTAGTACATATATATATATATATATATATATTATACTAAGTTATGAGCTCGTGTATGAGTCGATCATATTACTTAAAAGTTTGAGAGAATGACCTAATGTATTTAAATAGTATTGCTTATATTTTAAGCTTTGGGGTTGGTTCAGGGTTAACCGACGCCTCAACCATAAACCAACCCAGACAGACAGACCATGCTGGGGGCGACCTCTTTACCTATCAACTAAGTTCATCTAATCTCAGGTCATACCAAATAAGCTACTATGGGTTCGGGTTTAAGAATCGGTGTCAATTCTTCATCTCTTTGAGGGAGAAAATATTTAATAGAACGGTGATACCATGTCAGTATTATTGACATGATATTATCAACCGATAATAAAATACTAAATGAACAAAGTGAATCTTACTTGAATAGTTATTGACTTAAATGGAAGAAGAGTGAGTAGTTGTTTAGTGAGTAACTTATGTGGATGCATATTATTAATTGGTGATACTACATAATAATACTGACATGATATTACCGTTACAATGAATATTTTTTCCTCTTTGAGACCCTGTTATAAGCAGAGAATTTTGCACTAGGTACGTTCCATATATTAGTAATAAACCGGAATACATACATCATATCCACAGGTGCTGTGAACATTTGACCTAACACTTGGAATATAGCTTTGTTTAGTTTAAAGACGTCTAAGACTATAGGCCGGTGGTCCANACCACCACCCCCACGACTATCACAACTACCACCGCCGCCACCACCACCATCATTGTCACCTACCACTGATTGCTACCATTGTCGTCCACTACCACCATCCACTACCATCATCATCTTATTCTTGTATTTATTATCATTATCACCATCATCCCACTATTACCGTTGTCACCGTCAGTACTCACCATTACCATTGTTGTCCACCGTCACCTACTAGCACAACACACCACCAGTCATTGTCGCCCACCATCGCCACCAGCCCCTGTCACCCACTCCCACCACACCTACCACTATTACCCGTCATCTGTCACCACTACAACCACTCACTGTCACCTACCCTCATCACACTTACCATCGCCACCATTCGCCACCTCCATCACACTGTCGCCTAGAAGTATCCATCGTCACCCACCACCACCGTTGTCCCACTACCACTGTTGTTAACCACCTTCACTGTCGTCCACTACAACCCACACCCACTACCATCACTGTCGTTATCCACAGCTGTCACTACTATCATTGTCACCCAAAACTCACCACCACTATCACCATTGTCACCCACGACTGCCACCACCACCACGATTGTCGCCACCCAACCCAACCATCACCACTGTCGCCTAGCACCACTAATATTGCTCACTCACATTAATTGGTACTTAAATTTTTTTATCTCTCCTTTATATTTGTGATTTTATTTTAGGTGCGAATACAAATATGTTTAGTGCTAACCATTTTTTTATTACTCTGTGCCTTCAGACATGAAGAATAACTAGTACATATATATATATATATATATATATTATACTAAGTTATGAGCTCGTGTATGAGTCGATCATATTACTTAAAAGTTTGAGAGAATGACCTAATGTATTTAAATAGTATTGCTTATATTTTAAGCTTTGGGGTTGGTTCAGGGTTAACCGACGCCTCAACCATAAACCAACCCAGACAGACAGACCATGCTGGGGGCGACCTCTTTACCTATCAACTAAGTTCATCTAATCTCAGGTCATACCAAATAAGCTACTATGGGTTCGGGTTTAAGAATCGGTGTCAATTCTTCATCTCTTTGAGGGAGAAAATATTTAATAGAACGGTGATACCATGTCAGTATTATTGACATGATATTATCAACCGATAATAAAATACTAAATGAACAAAGTGAATCTTACTTGAATAGTTATTGACTTAAATGGAAGAAGAGTGAGTAGTTGTTTAGTGAGTAACTTATGTGGATGCATATTATTAATTGGTGATACTACATAATAATACTGACATGATATTACCGTTACAATGAATATTTTTTCCTCTTTGAGACCCTGTTATAAGCAGAGAATTTTGCACTAGGTACGTTCCATATATTAGTAATAAACCGGAATACATACATCATATCCACAGGTGCTGTGAACATTTGACCTAACACTTGGAATATAGCTTTGTTTAGTTTAAAGACGTCTAAGACTATAGGCCGGTGGTCCATGCAAAGCTTCTTGTCTAATTCAACCAATTTAATTAATTTGGCTTCTTTTATAGTTGGCATTATTACAACGTAAATGTGAATGTGAAACTGTCTCTGTTGCAGAATAAATTTAAAGGTGTCGTCAATCCAACCAAACCCTACTTTGTGTTTCACCCCCACATGGAACCCACAAAATAATTAAGTCATCACGCCACCACCTACCATAGCCATCTTCTTTTGAAGGCTCCCTGGTAAAATAGCTTTGTTGCACCACATGAGGGTTCTTAATTTGGGATAAGTTTATGGTACACCAAAAAGAAAATATGGGTATTTTATTGAAATTGATTGAGAGTCGTTTATTTTAGTTTAATTGATTTATAGCAATTTATCATAAAAATAGTAAAATAAAAACAATTTACTTCTTATGAACGTGCCGATTTTATTGAATGAAAGGTAAAGATACGGTATTAGAAAATTGGAAAATACTATTTAGACAAAATTTGAAGACGTAATTTAAGGACCTAATTATGTATAACCATTATATTAGTTGTAGTTGTGGGCTCTATTTAATATTGAAACTCACAGTTAATCTAATGATTGCATTGAAATCACATCATTAAATCTCCAAATAAGATCCTTATATCTTTGCTCTAGAAAATTTAATTTTGGATGTGTAAAGCAGACCCATTAATCTACGTTCGTGCAACTCTTTTTCTAAACAACTGGCACTGAAATTTAAGAGTAATGCTATGCACACAAAAAATGTACACCAAATCATCTGTAATCGTCGAATCCGTGAGCTTCATCACTGATCCAACAATTGTAGACGAGTAGGTGCACATTTTCGTACAGATAGTTTTATCCGAAATTTAATTGTGGTTGCTCAAAAAGAACAGCTAATGAGGCCAACCTCTCATGTTGAGTATTAAGATTTAAAAATTTTACTTAATTTGTTGATTTAATAATATAGTTATTATTATAATTATTAAATTTTAATGTTTAATAAGACTAACAGTTAATTCAAGAATTATAATATGTTAAATTAAAAAATTATATCAATAAATTACTTATATAATAAAGTACAATATAATTCAAATCTCAAAAGATAAACAAAATAACTTTTGCAATTCGCAGTTGAGATTGTTTTAAATTTTATTTTAAAGTTAATCTAACCGCTAATATTAACATCCTAAATTTAAATGAAAAAATAGGTCAATAAAGGTGTGTTTGAAGTGACTTTTTAAAAATATTTATTTATCGTAAGTACTTTAAAAAAAATAGTGTTTAAAGCTGTCTCACCACTACCTTTATCACGACCACCCGTATCCCCACCACCACCACCACCGTTGCTGCTACCACCTTACCACCATCACCATTGCCACTCACAGTTGCTACCGCCACTACAGTCATCGTGTTACCCACTATAATCATCACTGTTTCTTATCATTATTACTATTGTCCACTATTACTATTACCACCACTCACCCTCGTTATTATCGGTAATTAAATTTTTTTATTTATTTTTTATATTTGTGATTTGATTTTAAGTGTAAATGTAAATATATTTATTATTTTTTTTATTACTATGTTCCTCCCGAGAGAATAACTAATATCACTGCTGACTGATGTTATGATATGAACCGCAGCGTACAAAGGACCATTTCCCGCTAGTAAAGGGTTTTGAATATTGAATTGGGTCACATTCTGCATGGATTTGTCTTGTCAGTGCTCTTAAATTATGAATTTACTTGCCCACCCACACACTTACAGCTAGCTGGAGAGAGACAGAGACGTGCATGCGTCACCAAATACTACTACGACTCTGTATACTCACCAAATGTATACTAAAAGAGAGTAATTTTATGCTGATTAAATATAACTAAAAAAAAATAATGAAGATTTAACTGTTACGGTAGATTACGGTTGTGAATCGGTCATTGTCATTTTATAAATTATATCATGCTAAAATTTATATTAATTTATATCCAATTTATTTATAATTAAATTTGTATCGTATGTTTAATTAGACACGTGGTAATTTATTCACCAAACAAGATTATTAGATCTTTACAATTCAAATCTATTAAGATTATAGTCACTTATTGATAAGAGAAATCATGTTATGTTGAGAATTAGGGTCGTGAATAATTGCTATTTCTATTCACCCTAAAATATAACATAAGGACAGAAACATAAGCAGTGCATCCAAGAACAGTCTTTTGTATACATCTTGATTCATTTATAGGGTTTTACAAATGATACGTACATACATACATACATAATATTTCTTGATGGGTATCTCTGAAAATTACAGTTTTTAGGGCACAACAATAAACATCTTATGACGCAGAACTAAATGCAATGCAGAATTTTCTCACACCACATTTGGCAGATGGAAATAACTAATTGACAAACAACTACATACCAACATCAATAAATATGAACCCTATCAATACCCATTTAAAAAACTTCATAGCTTCACAATCTCTGGGATGTGAACTGGGTACCTATCAATGCAGTCTTGCCATGGCCCATCAATTGGTGCTCTAATGGTGCGATTACACTTCCAAACTGCACTGTTACACTTAAACCCACTTCCAAAAGCTATCTGCCAAACCCTATCTCCTTTCTTCATCCTTCCCTTGGACTCGATATAGTTCAGTTCATACCATAATGAAGAAGAAGAAGTGTTACCGAATCGGTGCAGTGTCATTCTTGAGGCCTCAACGTGTTCAGCAGACAACTGGAGGTTCTTCTGGAGCTCGTCGATCACAGCTCTCCCTCCGGCATGGATGCAGAAGTGTTCAAAAGCTTGTTTGAAGTCAGGAATGTAGGGCTTCCATTTGGGGTTGAAGATTTTCCGGCCGATGAGTGTGAAGAGGAAGAGGAGCTGCTCCGACGCCGGAAGGACTAGAGGTCCGATCGTGGTGATGTTGGACTTCAAAGCTTCGCCGGCGATGACCATTAGGTCTTTTGAGAGATTGATCCCAACTTTTCCTTGTGGGTCTTCTTCTTCATAAACACACCGGAAGGACTTATCGTCTGCACCTTTGTGGGTTCGAACCACATGGACTAATCGGTACTTGGCTCGAGTCCTTTCACGCCTCTTGTTTGATAACAACATCGCAGCACCTCCCATCCGAAAAAGACAATTTGGAAGAAGCATAGCTCTTTCTTTTCCTTGATAATAGTTGGGTGTGATGATCTCAGTACTAACAACAAGAGCATACGAATTTGGATGAACTTGAAGAAGGTCTCGGGCCAAATCCATGGAGATCAAGCCAGCACTACAACCCATACCAGAAAGATTATAACTCTTTATATTACTCCTCAGCTTGTACTTGTTCACCACCATTGCTGACAAGGAAGGAGTGGGTGAAAACAGACTACAATTCACTATCAAAATATCGATGTCTTTCGGTTTAACACCAGTTTTCTCCATCAGAGAATCAATAGCGGAGAAAATAACAAGCTCTGCTTCACCTCTAGCTGCTGCCATGGTGGGTTTTGGAGGGATATAGTGAATCGCCGGAGGCAAACATGTCTCTTCTCCAAGCCCTGAACGTTCAAGAATTCTCATTTGAAAGTCTACACTTTTCGGGTTGTCTATAAGGTTCAGCCTCGAGTGTTCCATGAACGTTGAGAATGGTACGCGACAAGTGACTGGAGGCTTGTAACAGGCGTAGTCGACGAGGTAGATTGAACGAGGTTTGGACATGAAGTACACAGTGGCTATGAAGATGATAAGGAAAAAAGAACATAAGACCTGGACTAGGTCGAAATGGAGGGAATTCCATATGTTTATTATTTCTTCTGGACCTAATTGGAGGACCTCGACAACAATAGCGGCCATGATGGGTATGAGCAAGAAGGTGAGAATGTGGTTGACAAGGTACTGATACCCAAGCTTGACATACTTGAGCTTGACAGAGCTAGAGAAATCTGGTAAGATTTGTGGCATTTTCAGCTGCAGAGAGAAGAAGGGAATGGAGATGAGGAAGGAGGAGGAGGAGGATATGAGGGTTGAGAGAGGACGGGGAGGTGGGGGATTTAAAGGCTAAAATTGGATCAATGAGCAATCAATTAATGGAGGCAGATGAGAGGATTAAATGATCAACTTCACGTCACACAACGCTCTCTTAGCTGGACCTTTTTTTTTTTTTTTTTTTTAATTTAATGTCCTAACCCCCTCAAATAATTAATCTTCCAATTCGTGCTGTCTTTTTCTTTTCTTCGTTACACTTCCTTTATTCTTTATTATATTTTATAATTGGCATGGTTAATATGAGCATTCAATAAAAGAAAAAGGTGGGAAGTTGAGGTTTTGCTTCTTCCCATCTTTTATAGACCAATAGTACCTAATTTGTTAATTGACCTAATCATTTAAAATGATTGATTTAATAATTGTCCAAAAAATTTATTAGCATTCGTAATCAATTCAATGATTATGATAAATTATATCAATAAATTAAATTTAAATAATATTATTATTTTTTATACCGAGTTTGTGATTTGCCTGAGAATACATATCTAGTTGTCATGAGTTAGCCTTATTGGGTTCACATTTGAGGGATATTTCAATCAAATCCATTTCTTCTTTTGACTTAGATTAGTGTTATAATCTGATGCACTGGAGCTCACAAGTATCAGTAATGATTGATGTGGAAACAAAAGCTTCTTTTTATTTTTTAATTATGACTGAAAATTTTTATGAGCCTCAAGCCTCAAAACCAAAGACTGGTTCTATCTAGCTAACTCAGTTGCAACCCATATAGGGGTGTTTATGTGTTGGGGTAACAGATACCGTTATTCGGCTCGAAATTTGATAGGTCCGATAATTAATTTGCTTGAATTTGAATTGAATTTATACTACTTATAAATGTGAGTATTTATGAAAATTTTTTAATTTTTTATTTAATCTCTAATTATTATACTAAAGTCAATTATACTCACTTATATACTTTCATCTAATTTTTATTTTTTAATCTTATTTGACTTTTAACTTATTTTGGACTCTTTTTTAAAGACTTCTAAATTCTTTTGAACTAATTTATTAGTAGTACAGTTACATAAAATTTTCTATATGTATACAAAGAAGTAAAATCCTATATATGTTAAATTATTATATACATGTAATTACCAATTTGAATTACACGATCAAATATATATTATATTATATTTTTTAGTAAGAAATAATATAATAATATTATAGGTGATCTCACCAATCTAGTTAACAAAAGAAAACTTAATAATTCTATAATATAATTAGATAGACAAATGACTAAAGGGATTTGAGAGATACTTAAATAAATGATAGATTAGTTATTCAAATATTTATAGAATAAATGAATAATTAAAAAATATTATTTAAATTTGTTTATGTGCAACGCACGTCGTATATTGCTAATATATTTAAAAAGAGGGATTGAGTTCGTCCCCAAAACCCATTACCTGGCCCAAGAGCCCACCCGCCAAGCCGGTCCACCTTTCTTTTGAAAAAAAATTATATTTTTAAACCATTAAATTTAAAATTTTAAAATAAATCTCATAATGTCGAAATTTGAAATTTAAAAAATTTAGATATTATAAATAATATATTATTTTCTTTTCTATGTATTAAACATATAAGTTTTGAAGGGTAGAGTAATTCAAATGATAGATAAGTGAGTAGACGTCAACCTAGTTGAGATGTATTCATTCTATTTGATGTAGTTCATCCTCTAATCAAAAATAAAATTATTCATTATTTTATTTTTATCCATTTTGACTCTGCTTTTAATTTAAAAATATAATTTGCATAATTATTAAATTACAAAAATATTCGTTATTTTTAAATAAAATTGTATATAAAAAAGCTCTCGAACAGGCCCACCTAGCAAACCTACTCAATAGGCTCATAGGTAGCCTACCACTATTCGAAATCCGGTCAATTCAATAACTCACTANAATTATTAAATTACAAAAATATTCGTTATTTTTAAATAAAATTGTATATAAAAAAGCCCTCGAACAGGCCCACCTAGCAAACCTACTCAATAGGCTCGTAGGTAGCCTACCACTATTCGAAATCCGGTCAATTCAATAACTCACTTGAGTAAAGGCTTAGGTTTACACTATCCAAATCCAACCCAAAAAAAAATTCAAGGGCTTGGCCCGGCCCATGAACACTCCTAAACCCATATATGTACAAGGTTTTGGGGGTGGGGGGTAGCAATCCTAATTAAAATTTATGGGATGACCAATTTCCTAGAGAAGTAGCTTCAATTAAGAAATTAGGGGTTCTCCAAAAAATAGTGTATAAACAAGAAACAAGGGTCCCCCTCCCTTCCCCTCCCCTCCCGGTTTTAGAGCTCTTTTCATAATCCTTGTTATTTAGAATGAAGCGTTTGTTGCTGTGCACTGTTGATGATCGAAGTCTTATAAATCAAATCATGTAATCTCTCTCGTGTTCTGTAGTTTTCTATTCTATTTTCTTATGTACTTATAATATTTTTGCACTTGTACCATGGAAGCTTTTATTTTATCCCCCAACCATATGGACAATAATTGCTCGATGTCGACAATGCTGCAATAGAGAAGTAAGGGTGCCAACAATAGAGTTGACTTAGTTAGGTTATCCCAAGTATAGTGATTAAGGGAGTATTATTATTCTATATATTGAAACGATAAGCAAATCCCATAAGACCATCTGCCAACCTTCTGTTCTTAAGTACGATGGTAGCTTCACTGCATTTTGGTGACTTGATATTGACACTCGCAATAAGGACTTGTTCTTTAAATTCTAAATCAACCAAAGCTAATCTACAAGTTTATATTTTTACATGTGTAATATGTAAAAGTAAGAAGGCTACAAAGACTTTATATTAAACGTCGACAATTCATCGCTGAAACCACTGAAACTCGAAATTACTCTTCACATGCTCTAAGGAGGTTGGCCATTGAGGAGTTCAAGTTCACTCCTCTAGGTAATTGAGGAGGGTGAATCAAAGTCACAAGACGACCCTCAATCCTTTGAAATTCAGGTGAGTTATGAATAGGATGAATTTTCTCTACAGGTAAAAATGTCATTCTTTCAAAACGANATATTTTTACATGTGTAATATGTAAAAGTAAGAAGGCTACAAAGACTTTATATTAAAGGTCGACAATTCATCGTTGAAACCACTGAAACTCGAAATTACTCTTCACATGCTCTAAGGAGGTTGGCCATTGAGGAGTTCAAGTTCACTCCCCTAGGTAATTGAGGAGGGTGAATCAAAGTCACAAGACGACCCTCAATCCTTTGAAATTCAGGTGAGTTATGAATATGATGAATTTTCTCTACAGGTAAAAATGTCATTCTTTCAAAATGGAGGTAAATTGAATATTTTCTCTTCAAAAAATTACGATAGATGATAAAAACTAGAAATAATGAATTGCCTTCTAAATAAGGGTATTTTTTTCAGCCACAAGAAAAAAGACCAAAAATAAAAATAAAAATTTTAATGAATAGTAGTCATAGTTTAGTTGCTAGGGGCACGTTGACGGTTGGGGTAGTTGTGAGCTAGGGTCGTCACCAATATTCAGACCCACTTATTTATTTTTTTTTTTTATCTTTNATGAATTGCCTTCTAAATAAGGGTATTTTTTTCAGCCACAAGAAAAAAGACCAAAAAAAAAATAAAAATTTTAATGAATAGTAGTCATAGTTTAGTTGGAAGGGGCACGTTGACGGTTGGGGTAGTTGTGAGCTAGGGTCGTCACCAATATTCAGACCCACTTATTTATTTTTTTTTTTATCTTGCTTTCTTATTTATTTCTATTGTTCCCCTGATGGGACTGGTCTCTTAAATTTTCAACAGAAAAATGCCAGGACTCACCACATGAAAAAAAACATAGACTTGACTATCATCCCGACAAAAAAAATTTGGATATCGTATTCTTAAAATTTATTATTTTAACGAATATTTTTATAATTTTTATAAGTTATTTTATAATTAAAAAATTGATCATTTTTTTTTGGATAATTTACCATTTTTATTGGTGTTTTTACCACNACATGAAAAAAAACATAGACTTGACTATCATCCCGACAAAAAAAATTTGGATATCGTATTCTTAAAATTTATTATTTTAATGAATATTTTTATAATTTTTGTAAGTTATTTTATAATTAAAAAATTGATCATTTGTTTGGATGATTTACCATTTTTATTAGTGTTTTTACCAATATTGTGGTAACTATTTCTACCACATTTCTTTAGTATAAAAAAGTTATCATTTTTGTGGACGATTTATCACATTTGTGATTATTTTTACCACTATTGTTGTTTTTAACGCTATTGTAGTATCTATTTTTACCATTTTTGTAGGTACCACAATAATGATAAAAACAACCATAAATGTAATAAATGGAGGTATAAAAACCCNAAAGTTATCATTTTTGTGGACGATTTATCACATTTGTGATTATTTTTACCACTATTGTTGTTTTTAACACTATTGTAATATCTATTTTTACCATTTTTGTAGGTACCACAATAATGATAAAAACAACCATAAATGTGATAAATGGAGGTATAAAAACCAAAAAAAAAACAAATGAATTGCATTTATTTCTTATAAAAATGGAATAAATAAGTTCTATTATGATCTAGTCCTTTTTTCTCCTAAATACTATGTGGGTAGAGAAAAACTCAATAATCGACTCAAGAAACAAATATAGAAGACATGTTATTATTAACTTTTGAATTTCTACTTGTAACACATAATATGATAAGAGTAATGTTTTGTTTATCGAATTATTTATCAAATTTTATATTTTAAATAACTATGAGCAGCACAATTTTATCCATATGATAAATCTGTAATCTCCTTGCGGGGAGAAAGAATGCCTAGAGATTGTCATAAAACATATAGGGTTCAAGATTAAGCACTTAGACCCATCAAGTCACTACACTTACAATCACAATATACCCAAAAGAATGGGAACACAAGGAAGTTCCACAATCATTTCATTGGCCTGTCTTCACCTAAATGACT